CGCATTCTGGAACAGAGCTTGTGAGGGAGATATCACGTCCTCGTCCCTGTCTCTCTTACACCCATGAGCCTAGGATCACGAAGGACGAACTTCAGATGGCGTCTTTTTTTTGCGTCTTTGCCCTGGGAGGCGACTATCCTATCTCAGATCTGTTCTGTATCTGTAGGGCCCTTCCACCCCTGGTCAAGTTTGATAGAGATAGGTGAACCCTGCGGCTGGCCTGCATATCGCGATATCGCGGGCATCCTCCGACTCGGGGGAGGGGGGATAGAGTTTCTCCCTCCCAAGGTGGCCAGATTCGATTTCGTATCATCTCTATCTGAGGCTATTTTTCAAGACTGCTGTCTAGTCGTGCTTTTTGATGGATGATTGTGTGGTTGTTTTTATCGCGGGCTTTGTTGCGCCTTGCGATATGGGGGAGATGGTACGACACGGGGTACGCCAGTATGGGAATAGGTTGAAGATCATGGCGAGTCAGACAGACGTCTTGACTCTTGCGGGCTGACAATACCCGCACAGGCGGGCAGACTAGTGACTTGTAAAGTTGTTGGATCGTCTCTACGGGATAACATTAACCACATCACACAACCAAAGCATACAATGTATCTATCGTTGGAAGGTGGGTAGTGTTCACTAGCTGCTTGAGCCTAGCACAAACTACGAACGCAGAGAGTATCGTTAACGGTGAACGGCAGAAAACTTCATGAGCTTCGGTGTGCACCACCTAGCTTTCCAACACCGGCGGAATTACACGACCGGGGAGAAAATGTTTTTGACTTTTTATGTTGGCTGTTGTTCGGCCGGGGAGATTAAGGGCGGAGGAATGATTACTGCCGAGGGCCGGGCGGGTAACACGGGTATTTCTCGACCATGGTTTCGAGCGGGATCGCTTCCGGGTCCGAGCAGAGCGGTGCTGAGTTGCAGACGGAGGCGCCGTTGAGCTTTGAAGCGGTCTGTTTCCCCGGGGAAGGACAGAATTCGGTGTCCGTGTTCTATCGGCGAGTCGTGAACTTGTGGTTGTTCATCCCTTTCGTCCTTACTTGTCTTAGGAAGTCGTGATGCTGGGGAGTTTGCGCAGGGGGGTTAACGGTCTCTATCTTGAACCTATGGTGTGATGTGAGTACTATACCTACCAAGCGGGTGAAGATGAGGCAGAACCTATCTCAAGCTCTCTCTGATGACAGGGGCTATCTACCTGGCATCGTCAAGGCCGTTGACTACGAAGCGCCGTAATTTTTGAACCGCGAGCAACGTTGCAGCTTTTTCTTTGGAACTCTAGAGGCGACGGCGACGGCGACCTTTGCTAATGATGCGCGTGTTGATGCTGTCGTTCAGTAGCGTCGAGTCCTCCTCCGAGTGAGAATAGTGAAGAAGAAGGCGGTCTTGGGTGAAGGCAGTTGGCTCTTTGTGTGACATACTCTCTCACTTTTGACGCGATGGCCGACTGTGAGCTAATGTCTTCAATGAATGTCATGGCCAATGCAATGCAACGCTATTGTTGTTGGAAGGATATCTAGCAGTGAAGCCCCTGCTTTCCGATACCTTCGGTCTTGTCTTCAGCCGCAATAGCCAGTACGGCCTCTTCCGCGACCTCTCCAAAGACCAATCCATGTTTTATCCACAGTGACTTGGTCTCTTTGGCAAGCTCAGGCCCGTCCATCCATGTAGTCTTGGGCGACAGTGTAATGTACCTTGAGTTCCGTGCCATTGTCGATACATACCCCAGAATCTCGGGGCCCGATGCCAGGTGAACGAACAAGACGCTGAAACAACCGCATGCTAAGAGAACCAGTGTAGATATTACGCAAAGCCCTACCCAGACCTTTGAGACCATGAATACTTCAGAGTATGTAGCTACTACCCCCTCAGTTGTAACGTTGGGTATGAAAGCCTCCTGGAGATCTCCGAGCGGTAGTTGGCTTATACCCAGGTAGGTATTTAATAGCTGTCCAAAACGAGGCCCGATCGTTTGTAGGTCTATGTTGTTGATATTCATACTTGGACCCTGTGTCATGCGTTCAAACATCGGGTCATGGAGGTAGTATAGAGATTGGTCGAGAACATTAGTGACGTTCCGACTCCCCAAGACTCTGCCTGTCGCTGTGGGCAACTCTCTAGAAATATCATTGAAGGCTCGAGGGAAGGAAAGCTGGGTGATGGTCTCCAAGGTATGTGCTTTTTGAGAGGGACGCTGTGCGACAACTTTACAAGTGCGTCGTTCATCGAGGTGCGAGCAGTCGACGCGAGACTCGACGTACCTCTGTGCTATGTCGCAGGTAATTTCTATCTCATCGATTTTGTCTTGATAGTAGTTCTCTCTCAAGAGAAGTCGAAGGAGGAGTTTTGTAGGGCCCATGGCCAGCTCTGTTTCGTTTGCAAGAACCAAAGGACCGTTGGTGATTGTGTGGTCAAATCTCGCCTTCTGAATCGAATGGTTGAACCACCACGGGTCCACAAAGCGATCGATGGCGATGCCCCATTGAGCGGAACTGCCACGATGGTCAAAGTCGACATACTTTCTCACGTAGTAATATCCGTGCCATGTTCCATTTGGGTACCCGGGGCCTATTTCGATCTCGGACCGCATACTCGACGATTGACTGATATAGTCGCTGGTCACTTGTACCTGACCCGATTGAGGTGGCAGGGCCCATTTCCGGGGGAAGGGAATCTAGAAGCGTTTGGACATCGCAAGTATATATATATGCTGATTCGAGCGTGAAAGTTGTGTTTCGCTCGCCAGAGTAGTCAAGGGGAATACCACTTAGTGACGAGAATTGCACGTCGGTGGGATCAGTGGAAATATTCTTCCAATCTGACAGAGTGTTCTCGCCCAAATAAGGTATCCTAACATTACCCCATATATCCATGGGATCAAGTTTGATTATTTTGGGTGCTGAGATGAGGTCATTGTACAATGTCGCCGTACGTGTAAGGAATAGTTGGTTATTGCCAGCTGTCACACCGCCAGCCGTCACCATGTAGGAAAACTTGCTTGTAGCAAGATTGCTGAGCCATGTTACGCTTGATGGGTGGAAAGATGTGTGAAGTCGTGAGTCCAGCATGCGTAGGAAAGCTTGCGCTCCGAGGGGAGAAAAGGACCAGTTGAATACGAGGGCAAGCGTGAGGACGTTGGTCGCTCGCAACTGCATGATCGTAAAGAGGGTCGAGCCCACAGTTCTACTGCTCATAAGCTGCTCAAGGGTCCCAATGCTGCCCCCTTTCTCGACTTTCCATCGCGCGGACTCAACCATCAGACGACCAGCGATGGAGGCGTAGAGAATTGGGAATGCGGTGGCGAGCTGCATGTCACGTTAGCTATATGTACTGAGCGTGTTACTCTTGGTACTTCAATCCCTCTAAGAGAGAAATTGGGACTTACTACATTGGTGACATTACGCCATGCCTCGAGGCTTCCCCTTACCTCGGAATTATCCAGGCGCCCAATGAACACAATAATTGTGTATATTACCAGAGGCAAAACAACAGAGGCTTAGTCGGTTAAAATCGTAGAGATTGCTGTATTGCTATTTCTGCGATAGCTGAATGCGGCAGATATCTCTTCCCCAATATGGTCATGTTTCGGCAGTGAGGATGGCAGATTCTCGGGCTCAGATGGCGGGTCGTCAGGCTCGGGTGTGTTGGTTCTTGTAGTATTCTGGAGTTCTATGCTAGTATTCGCTGCTTTATGATCCCTTACTTGACCCGAACTCTGATCTGGCGGACTTGTTGACGATTCAGGACAGCGGATTGGCTCATAGGCTTCTTCGTGTTGATTGCGCCATAGCCAAGAAGGCCGCGATGAAAGATGCGACATGTTGTTGAGCTTGATTTATGCTATTTGGTGGCTCCTTCTAGATGATCAAGATACTCGGTTATACAAGGAAATTCGGCGTGCCGCTGTCCTACTTCTCAAGCAGCTTTGATATAGTAGATTCCCACGACCCTTTCTGGTCACTACCCCTGTCATGTGTAAAGACAACGAGCAGGCGGCCAAACAATATAGACTTGGAGACGCCCGAACCAAGATATTGCGCTGTGGTGGCTATGCTCAAGCCTCCATGCAAGTCGTAGCGAGGCTGCTGACTACACTCTCTGGACTGCCTTGACCGGTACAACACCCTCTTCTACACCAGGTGGGCTGATACTTGCTTGCCTCAAGTCCACTGAGGTTTTACTGGCTTTAACGACGGATACTCATGGCTGCGTGCATAAGCTGCAGTCTTGGCTCTCGTTCTTGCACGCCTCACGTCCTCGGTTGATCCCGAATGGCATCTGATCAAACGTGGCGTCAGTCGCTAGGTTACGAGATGTCTACTTGAGCAAGCTCGACGCGTTTGTGAACTCTCAATTCTTGCACCCTGTCCCGAGTCCTGGATTATCTATCTACCATGTACCTGATCTTCCAGCAACACTAACGAAGCCCTCATGAGCTTCTTCGTACGTTTGCGGTTTTGCCACGCGGCTGCCGGAGCCATTGAGAATGAGGTCACGCTATCGCTGCAGCCTTTTTACCAAAAGATTCTTGCCAAGGGGTGACACAACATGAACCGTTCAATGCGGCCAGAGTCTCAGCCTGCCGATGGTGGCTACAAATTGGTCTAGAGTAGAGTGGTTGGCAGTATTTAGCAAGAACTACCATTGCGGTTTCCGGTCTCCCGATGTCGCATGTTCTTGTTGAATAGTGAATCTGTAGGTTGATTCGAGTGTTCGCGTCTTAGTCTCCTGCCCATCTAGGACCATGTGGCCGGGATTTTCTGTTGCTCCCCCACGGGGTTCAAGTACAGTCATGAGTGCATCGTTTGATCGAGTTCTCCGTGACGATATCATTGGACGGGGCCAAGAATCCGCTATAAGTTCCGTTCGGTCCAAGTTCTCACGTTCATCTGAAGCTGTAGAAAGCCCATACATACAAGCAATCTTTTTAATGAGCACCTAGAACGTATATCCGCGCTATCACAGCCTCGTAGCCCCAATTGAGATTTCTACTCCAAACCCTATCAATCCAGATGTACAGTGTTGAAAAGCCGGTTACCAGTATCCGTACCACCGCTTCCAGTGAACTTGTTCTCCGACAACCGAAGTGAGACGAGACTGAGGTCTCCTTTACAGGCAAGTGACTCCAAGACATCCGAGATGGCCTTGGCCTGAACCACAATGACAATGCGGATCTCCAGCTTCAACCTCCGAACACGGTCGACGAACCCCTTAACTGACTTGCCGCTGTTGACCACCGAATCAAGCAAGAGCAGCGTTTTCACTCCCACAAGATTCTCCTTCGTGAGCTCGGTGGCACGGTTGGCGTGGATAAAGATGGCATTGGGGAACACCTCGTTGACACCAAGGGCCATTTGGCTCACCACCGCGCATGAGAGCAACGATGGCTGTTCGGCTCTCGTCAACAAGACGGTGACCATCGGTATTGTAGCCCTGAACATGAGGTATAGGATATCTCTCTAGGCCGAGCAGCTCCGTCAGAAACTCGGTGGCGAGGTACCGCCCAACTTGCCCATGGGCCGCTCTGAGACTATGACCGGCCACAGACGCGTCGCGTGTCGCAGTCATGAGAAGTTTGGCTGCACTTTTGTTCGTGGCGTGCAGAACTCGGAGGTTGGCGTAGCGATACAGGAAAGATTCTACGAAAGGTTGGCCAGAGATGTCGACAATCGGTAAATGCTCTGGAGTGAGGCGGGGTGAAGAATGATTCGGGACCAAAGCCTGTCTTGGACGGAAGTTCTCGTCGCCAGTAATGGCCTTGGTCAACTCAGCGTCCATGGTCTTGCTTCTGAAACGCTCTTCGCCGACGACGACGATAGCTTGGTTGGCCCTCTTGAGCATGGGCAAGTCCATCGGACTGTCTCCGAAAGCCCAGACAGACACACCTTTATTTTGCAGATGGGAGACAATAACGGCCTTGGCCTCAGGAGTAACAACGTAACCATCCTCGAAGCTACCCCCGCCAATGATCTTAATGTCACCATCGAGGTCCTCTCTCTCCAATATTAGTTTCCAGACTCGACGAAGGCCACACGTTGCGATGACGATGCCAACGCCGCGATGGCGCTTGACGGCGTGAATAAGGGCCATGAACTCCGGATATAGCGAGACAGCAGCGGCGACTTCCTCGCATACTTCGTCAAAGGCGCTATCGACGTACTCATACAAAGACATGGCCCGGTGAAATGAAGCAAGGGAGTAGTCGTTGTTTTCGCTGAATAGCCTCTTCAGGGGACATATGAGGTCGTCCCAGAGCCAATGATTTCCAAAGCTCTCTGGACCATCCCACACACGGTCAGGGTATCGCCTCTGCGAAGTTGCCTTGAGCCTCTCCCAGAACATCGAGCCCGTGTCCGCTGCGCACAGCGTTCGATCCGCGTCTAATACCAACACCGTATCCAACAGATCGCGGCCTGGGCCCGAAAAAAGCAATCGATCAGTCTCGCTTCTTACACGACGCAGGTTCTCTTCGTCTTGCGTCTCAATGTTGCGCAGCATGTGTTGAATGCCATCATAAGAATGAGGCCCCCGGAGATACAGCGGCATGAACTGCATGCCATTCAGACGAGAGAGACGGGATAGAGCGGCCGTTTCGGAGTTCCTCCACTGTGCCAGGTGATTAGGTTGTAGTTCAGGGCGCGTTCGACGTTCATCGTAAGTTCGTTGATCCCATAGACTGATAGCGGGCATGTCCAGGTGGAGTATGTGGGTGTAGACCCGCATGTCAGCTTCGGTCCACACAACGTCATGGGAGGGATGCTTGTCGTTCCAGAATGAATAACGGCCGGTGACTATGCCAATACGCCCAGTAGCAGTACATTCATCGGCAATGAATTGAATGGCTCGCTCTCGTTGTCGGGTTTTCGCATCGTTGTCGAGTCGCTTGAATGCGTCCAGACCTCCGTCGACGATGTTCCCAATGACCTCGGACCCCTCATAATACTGGAACCGATTTCCAACACCGAAGTATGTCTTGAGATGACGCAGGACGTAAGATTTGCCACTACCAGGAAGGCCGTATAGGCCGACGATCGTAGGCTTCTTGGAGGGAGAAGCAATATTGAAATTGGAGGCAGACATCCTGACAGTGGATGGAGAATGAGTTGCCCATGTGATTTGAGAGAAAGCGGCTACCTTTGGCAAGAGTAAGGTTCGTTCATCAAAGCAGGAAGAAGCGGCTACAGTTCGGCTTATGTACAAGGTCGGGGCTTTCTCTGGCTTTCATGACCTGAGAGAAAAGGGCTTCCCAGGGGCAATCATGAGACAAATGATGGAAAGGGCGATGGGTTTGTTTGAGGCAGAAGCGATGTCAAATGCTAGAGGCAAGAAGTGTTTGTCCGCTTTATGGCAAATTAAGTGCCTACGTAGTGTCTTAGTCTACCTAGAATCCCAATAAGTTTCTTTCTCATTTGTGATGGTAGATTCTCGGCTGTCATTTGCCTGGTGGTGATAATGGTGTTTGTCTTGAGAAACCCACCACAGCATCTGAGGGCCTTCAGAACGGCTTATTGCAAGCTAAGTAGTTCCAATTCTCTTGAAAATATAACCGTAGCTTTGAAAATATGTGATCAATCAGCAATGAGGTGTTTTCCGTGTAAGACAACACAACAAACGGCGATGGGGGCTCGTTTTTGCCCGCTTGTCTCCCTTTGAAGAGGCTAGCTTCTGATACCAAAGCAGTAGGCAATGTTTTCGACAATCTCTCGTTACCCGAAGGTGATGGGAATATTTCTTCACCTCTTTATCCAGGCAAATGACAACTGCTCTCTTGAGCTGGAAGGATATAGACAGCAGCCTTTTCTGCTGATTGAGGGGAGGTTTTCAGACATGCGCATTGCCCCTGATATTTGTTCCGAATAATGGCTTTACCAGAGTTGCTTCCTCAACCATTTCTTGAGTTCAGATGAATCTACATTACATTACGTTTCCTTACATGGAGAGGGGTATCATACTATCATACAAAAAGTTCTTCCCGTGCCTAAATCACCCATATAGCATCCCGTCCATCCATCCATCTAAATGTGTTTCGTTCCCTCTGTCTCGGATCCAACAGTCGTAACCTCATCTTTCTGCCTCAAGGCCGCACAGTCATAACCACGGCTCAGACTCCGCTCCCTCGGTTTTTCAACATCCTCAACATCCCGTTCGCTGCCCTCATCAAGTTCCTTCTCCTTCTCCGTCTGTGCCTCAGCAGCAACGGTAGCCGCCACGACCCCAGAAACCCCGCCAACAGCAGCCGCAGCCTCAGCCGCCTCGGCATCCTCCTTGGCCTTCTGCTTCGCCTGCTGCTCCTTCTTCACGCTCTTCCACTCCATACCACCAGCTCCGATGAACACGGAGCAAACCATCACCAGCGCGACCACGAACACGACCTTGAGCGCTCCGTTGTAAGCCTCCAACACAGGTCCCTTCACATTATCCGGCAGATCCGTCAGCGACGTCGCGCCCGTAGTCTGTAGATTAATCCCCTCGAGCCCAGGCAGGCCCTTGATCCTCTTCACGAGCTCGTTGTTCAACACCGTCTGCCCAACCGAGATGAACACGGCGCCGCCAAGCGTCTGCGAGAAGAACATGATACTCGCGCCCACAGGCACGTCCTTCAGCTTAAGGACCGTCTGCGCAGCAAGATTCGGCGCCTGGAACGTCATACCCTGCCCGATACCGTAGATAACCTGGTACGCCGCCCATTTCGCCGTGCTCGTATCCACTTCAAGCGTTGTCATCATGCCCGCACCGACGGACATGATGCAGATACCGACGAGCATCACGGGTGTGTAGTATCCAATCTTGGTAATGACGCCTCCTGAGACGGCCGCGAAGACGGTCATAGAGAGAACCATGGGGAGGGTGCGAATACCGGATTCGACGGCCGTGAAGCCCTTGATCGCCTGGAGCCAGATGGGGAGGTAGTACGCCATCAGCATCATCTGTCCGCCGAGGGAGAAGGCAGCCCAGGCGGCGAAGGCGATGGAGCGTTGGCGGATGATGCGCGGTGGGACGGTTGCGGTATTGGGGAGGAGGATCTGGATGGCGATGAAGGATAGGAGGAGAACGACGGCGAGGACCAGGAGGGCAATGATTCGTCCATTGCTCCACTGCGATTCATCAGTCTATGTTACAACTTGTAGAGCAATGAGTAGAAAAGGGGCAATAGGTGGTAAAATGAGAGTAAGAGGTAGGGGAAATTGTGAGACTTACAGCATACTCAACACCACCCCATTGCAGCGCAAGAAGCAAGCAAACAACACCAGGAATAAACACCGACGTCCCCGCGAAGTCCAACTGCTTCAACTTATCCCACAGCGAAGACTCGGTAAGATTTTGCTCCGGCGGCTTCATCACAAACGCAATCACCACCAGCGCGACGGCTCCAAGCGGCAGGTTGATATAGAAGCACCACCGCCAGGTAACCTTTGTCGTGAACGCGCCGCCCAGCAGCGGTCCGATAACGGAAGCGATACCAAAGACGGCCCCGAAAGCGCCCTGATACTTGGGGCGGCGGTGCAGCGGGACGGAGTGGACCATGACGACAATGGCGCCCGCGAAGATGCCCGCGCCGCCGATGCCCGCGATGGCACGGCCGACTATGAAGGCGGCGCTGTCGGGCGCGGCACCGCACACGGCGGAGCCGACCTCGAAAAGGACGACGGAGCAGAGGAAAACGCGCTTGATGGGGAAGAAGACGTAGAGCTTGCCAAAGAGGAGCTGGAAGGCGCAGGTTGTCAGGAGGTAGGCGCTTCCGTACCAGCCTATGTCGGTGACGGAGTGAAAGTCATCTGTGATTTGGGGGATTGCTGTGGCGATGATGAGGCGGTCCTGTTGGTGGTGTTAGTCTCGTGGGAAAAGGGTGTGGAGGGTCCCTAAGGGAGGAAAATACCAATGCGACGAGGAACATGGACACCAAGATGGATAGCATGATTAGGAAGAGCTTCAGGCCCTTTGGATATTGGATCGATCGCGTCGTCGAGGTATGCGTAAGAGCATGCTGGGCGGGTTGCTGTTCCTCTTCATCGTGAATCTTGCTCGTCCGTGATGAGGCGGGCGGTTCGCTCGTTGGCGTCGTCGCGGGGACGGCGCCCTTGTCGCGCTTTTTGAAGAACATGGCGATAGTTCCGATCTGTCGTTCGTTCGTAGTCGTCCAATCCAGAGAATCCAAAACCTCTAAGCTTTCGTTCTTCTATTTTTGTCTCCCAAAGTTGTCGTTCGTCTGGTTTCGGCTCGTAGTCGACACTCTCAATACAAGTTCAACCCGATGTCTCTCAATTAGAACTCTGTAGATCTCAAAATCCTTTTTGTTATGAATCAGAGGGGAACGCGGTGGGGCTGTGAGGAAGTCGACGATGAAGAGATAAGTAGGCAATCAACACGTTCAAAAAGAAAAGAGTCGTCCCAAGTAAATAGATCGCATTTCCCCTAAACAAGACAAAACAATCCTATTCGAAACAAGCAGAACGAATTACCACCCGAAAGAGGACGTAAGAAACGTCCGGTCACGACGAAGAAACGACCTAACGCATGTCCGCATGACGAGAACGACTCACATCCAACACCCGTTCGGGGATTTCTATTCTCCTTCTTTTCTTACCTCCTTACTCCCGCCAATGAATGGAAAGCACCACGCCAAAAACCACCCTAAAAGAGCCTCCAATCTTGGCTCCCGCCCGCCCGCTCGTGTCTAGCCACGCGACCTAAGTCCCAAAGAACTTGAATGAGTCTAGGTCGGTCTGACTCTGAGCCAGGCTTCATTCCGAGTTGATTCCTAGACAGTGGAATGTGCCTGGTTATGATGGACTCCTTCGCGGCGCATGCTTACGTACCCACAACAGTGACTTATCCACAAGTTCACGAAAGTCCATCCTACAAAACAAATGCCGGCCGGTTCTCGGATCTCAGTTTTTCTCAATCGTGGGGGAAACTATGCCCGCTCATGTACGGATATAAGCCAAGCGCATAGGTAGGTAAGCAATCGGCATCGAAAATGCCGACTTACATTTCCCCATATTTGCACTGGTGCAGTAAGTCAAGCCTCGCCGGAACGCTTGAACCCAGCAGTTTGTCCAGTTGGTTAAACGCCACGCGCAGCTGCAAGTGGAAAAGAAAGAGAAAAGAAGAGAGGAAAAGGAGCACCACGCATAAAGAGGGAGTCGTCAACTCACCGATCCATGCCGCCCATCAGGCCAGACGGGGCCGAGCGGGCTTTGGTAAGCTCCAGGTGAGAGTCGTTAGCCCCGACTTGTGTGTAGTGACTCTTGTGTGGCTCATCAGACAAATAGAACCAGGCGGGCGGGCATTGCATCGGCTTAAACTAAACCATTCAAAGAACCCCAAGCCACAAAACCTCGGGGATTTCTACACCAAAAGAGGTAAAGGCCCCAACCAACCTCGGTCCCGAAGACAAGGGTCGGCTCACGGGTCCATCGTTCCCCGATGTGCCCGAGCCTCCGGTCGTATGGTGCTGTTCACACACATGTTTCTATCAAACGGCACGAGGGGGTGTCGGGGTGAGTATTCCGCTCCGCTCCGTCTGCGGTCCAAATTACATAGCCCTCAGCCCTGAGCCCGCACTTGTCCTGTCCGTCTGCCGTTCCTTGATTTTTTCTTGAATGTTTCTATTGACTTTCCGGATGTTACCCACCTAAAATAAAATAAAAATAAAAGACAATTATGACTCTTATGCTTCCTCTCGCACGGGCTCCTTTCCCGGGCCCGAACGAATCGGAGTCCTCTGCTTCGGGGTTTTTCGTTTGAATAAGGCAGTTAGTTCACCAAGAATTCGTGTAAAGTCGGGATTCAGGAGCCCAGTTTCGAGGTCATACGGACCTGTCTACCATGGACATGTCTCCATTAACGGATAGTTCCCTATTCCCCATCCGGGCAACATTGCAGTTTTGTTTCATGGAAGGCAAGTATCAGTCAGGTAAGACGGGCATTCGGTAGATTTGATATGTCCATTATACAGACCAATGCCTCAACCCCTCATGAATGATGATCATGTAGTACCCTGGCAGCCTGACAATGGCAAGGTCGTTCCGCAAACCGTAGACTGGCGGGGGACACTGAACTTGGAAGGTCATTCGCTGAGGGGTTTGCGACCAGGGAGCAAGTAAAACTGACGAGTCGTTCCATCTGCCTGCCCGCGTCGTAAGCCCATAGAGATTGCATATGCAAGTCTCGTATCCCAAGTGGTAGATAGGCAAGGCAGACAGGCACCAACAAGACTCAGTGACGTTATATGATGTACGGATAGAGCCGTCAATACTGAAAACCGTGTCTTCTCGGAAACAGCTTCCGCAAAGGTCCCGCATGTCGCCGATGGAAGACAAGACCACCACTGCTAATCTTGCCCCTTTTCCGTTGAGGAGGTAGCCAAAAGGCCCAAAGGCGACAAGTTTCATTCAGCTCGACAGGGGGACGGCAGTAATTCATCATGCCAAAACGGCTTTTGGGCTGGCTAGGGGAAGGGGGTGTGCAATTGGTCTTTCCATAGACTCCCGTCTATTTACCATTAGGTAGCTTCGTCGTCTCATGGTACTATCGTTACAGAGGTGGGAGAGTTGTCTCTTTGTAAAATCCTAAACACCAAAAGACAAATCCAAATCCAAAGTATGCCCCCCGAGTGAATAACCCCCCCGTCTCTTTCTACTTTCAACGAGAGATTTGATTTGCAGATGCCCGGCGGGCCCTTACCAACCCCCCCCCCCCTTCTGACCAATTCACTCTCCTTTCTTTCCCATTTTCTACCCAAGGCACCGGAGGTTGCATGACGTGAGAAATCCCAAATGATGCCTGTCGCATGTTCACCATCCTCTATTCGTTGGTGGCACGCCAAAATTCCCAAATTGCCCAAACATGTTTGACGAAGACTGCTGGTTCATGTTGCCGTTGGGAACGCCCAAGTCCGCCCACATGTCCAAATCGTAAAAGTTTGTAGTGTCGAGGAAGTTGCCGAGGAATTGGTCCATGGGTTGGTCGTTCCTCGGAGGAATCTCCATCTTCATCGTCTGTGCCGGCGAAGGCCCGCACGACGACGCTTCCGAGCTCGTCTGCGGCACGGTATCCTGCAATCGCGGGATGGCAACCGGTGTATCGTAGGGCAGGCCAAGTTGCACCAGCGCGCGCTCGCGTGCTCTCCAGGCCTTGAGCATGTAAACGCCCAGTTGAGTGTTCTCCTTCTTGGACATGTCCCACAGCTCCTCGTGGTATTGATATATCCTGTCAACCACCTTCCATGCGCGATCAGCCAGCTTGCCCGTCGGTCTCTTGTATAGTTGTCCGGCCATGACGATGAAGACATCGATTTGGAAATGGAGCTTGAAGAACCACACAAAGCCGGTGTTCTCCATAAAGTCATACAGCTCGACGTTATGCTCGTGGTGCATGAGCGATATCCGGAACATGTTGTCCTGCACGTTGAAGATCTCAGTGCCGAATTCAGGCAATTCGCGCATGGGGATCATCATAGCCCGCATCTTGTCAGTGACCATGGATCGGATCTTGGTCGCTACGATGTGAATGTTGCCGGCCAGGGGGTCGCAATATCGCTTTTCGAGGGCTACGAGCTTCGCATCGAGGTTGTCGACCAATGCCCGATACTTGGCAAGCGAAGTCTGGGTCGCTATTTGAGAATCCTGACTGTCGTTTTCCATGGCGCCGAGAACGACGGCCTCGAAATCGGGGATGCGGTTTTCGACAATGAATCGACCAACTTCGTACAGGAGCAGGCAGAACGCCATTTCTGTCGGGCCTTCGCGGGGCTGAACGGGTTCGGTCGATCCGGGGAAAAGGTCGGCATCGTTTACGTTCTGCGGCGTGTTCGTGTCCCAGTTCCATGGCAGTAGCGTGTCGCAGAATCCCGATACCATGGCATATTTCGTGTCCAACATGATGATCTGCCACCAAAGTCGTCGTCGCATTTCCGTCTCGTATGGAGTGAGGTTGAGCAACTCTCCGTCCCTGTGAAGTCCCATCTTTTGTGCAATACGGATCAGCACACCACTGAGTACCCAGGCCGCATGACGGTTATATCGTCCCTGAAGAGATACCTGTTTGCTGTTAGTAAGACAAATTGATTTCTGCGGAAGAAAAGATCTCGACGGACCAGGTAGAGTATCAAAGCTTGCAGCGTCATCAAGTCATGGTTCTTGAGGAAATTGACCTTGGTCAATGCCGCCTTGACGCCAGCAGTGAACTTTTTGAGCGCCTCCTCTTTTGACATATCCAGCATTTGTCTGGCTTCTGAATCGGTCATGGTGAGGGATGCGACGAGGTAGATGGCAAATAGCAAGGCCTGGGCGTTGTTCGCGACATTGGAGTGGTTCGCAGCCGCTTCCACGACCAAGGGTTGCAGGCTGGGTACGTGAATGAGTTTGGTGATTGGATTGACCCTTTCCAGAAACACCTGCCAAAGTCTGAATATTTGAACGGGAGATGGAGTAACGTCTTCCAAGTCAATCGCGGCTATATCGTTTAGAAGAAGATCTACGTTGTCGTCGGGGGTTACGGCGTCGGATCCTAGGACACTCTGTTCCTCTTCCTCGGCTTCGATGATTTGTCGCATTGCGGTCAACTGCGAAGAGGTCAGAGCTAGCCGGCGCAGGCAGGGAGCGCGCAGCGATGCGTAAAAGGGAGGCGCATCAGACTACGAGCTTCGCGGTTACGCACCTGATCATGCACTGTTGCCCACACATAACTGTCCATAAAGCGGACGCTGCCATCTTCAACTACGACTTTGCCGGCCGGCTTCCAGGATGTCGTGGGTGGAGAAGTGTCCTCGGATACTGAAGCGGACCCCGAGGGCAATGGCAGCTGTGGCATACTCGGCGATGGCCCAGCCGAAGAAGGCGTGGCAAAGGTGGTGGGCGAAAGAGTCGCCGCCGTCCCCGGAGGCGTCGTATCGCTACCTGTCGTGGCATACTGTTTTAGTAGAGCCTCGCATCTCGCGAGTCTTTCTTGTAAGTCCTGGTTCGGCCTCCTGCGCTTGCGTGCGGGAGCCGGTGTTGAAGGTGTACATGTGACGTTGGCCTAATACGAGTCAGAACGTATTCGGGATTCTGTATCTGTACAAACGAAGGCGGCGCACCTTTATACAGTTAGAGCAGGGGGTGTTGCGGTCGCATTTGATCTTGCGATGTTGGCAGAGAACACAGGCCAGAACCCTCTGACTCTTGTGTTGACTGGAGTTGGTACTCATTGGTAGGTAGGGCTGAGGCTGAAGAGCCTCGTGGTTATGCAGTAGTTGCCACGGGAAGAGTTTGAAACAGGACGGCGTCGTCCATGAATGGGGGGCAACAAGACCCAACCAAGTCTTTAACACGCGTGGGCGCGAGGCCCTTATGGATGATTCCCTGGTGGGCGGAGTCCGTCGGTGAGAAAGTTGCAAGGGGGGTCCGTTCTAGTGTATCCGTTGTAATAGAGAGATGAGGAAATAAAGATGTGGCGACGAGCTGAGACCCGAGGGGTAATAAATGCAAACGGATCTAGACGCGACCCTAAGTGGGATGAAGGAAGCCCACCCCTCTTTGGCGAGGTTCACACAAGGCGGGCGCGTGCTGTGATCTGCCGCAGTGCCAAAGGTAAAGTTTTTGGCTTAGAAATTGGCAGAAAGTGGAATCCCGGGTTAACTTGAGTCGCTTGGGTGGTTCCAGGCGTTGTCGATGACCAACCAGGGCGGAGATGGGCGCTAGACACAACGACTTTGAATCGTTATGCTTCCCCGGGTGTGCGGTGCGGCGAAAGAAAGGTGGGAGAGGAGGGGAGGGTGTCTGTGAGTCTTTCAAGCCAAACCCGTACGTGGGGAGGGTTGATCGTGGGCTGGTCCGGGACGAGCGGACGGGAGGCCTGGCCCAGGGTCGAGACAAGACAAGGTAGGCTGGGTTGGAAACCAGGGCGCCTTGTTTGGAAAGACGCGTGTGCAGCGGTGATGCGGGAGAAGAGGATGCCTGGTGGTAGATACGGATATTGGCTCCTTTAACCCCTGGCTTCGCTTTTTGCTCACCCTACTCGTTCCTGGCGGGATATGAGTTGCGACTTTTGGTGGGATCGATGTGGCAGGGCTGGGCGTCAGATGTGAGTGTAGGAAGTGTGAAGTGGGCGTGGAGTTTGGGGGTAAGGGCGGCGGCGGTGCGGGACGCGGCGGCGGAATGCGAAGAGAGGAACGACAAGGGCTTGAGAGACTGTTGAGAGAGGTGTGTGAAGTGAGAGTTGAGAGTGTGTGTGTGACTGAGAGTATGTGTGCTGGCAGCCCTGCCGGTATGTAGTCTGGTATTGTAATGTAAGGCAATGAGGCGTAGTCGCAGGACGGCGTCGGCGACAGCGGGCCAAGAGAAAGAAGTATGAAATTGGACGTCAAGGACTTCTGTAGTATGGTATGAATCCGTATGGTAAGGGTAGAAAGGTAGGGTGGTCCAGCAGCGGAAACGGGCGCGGGTCTCACAGTCACTCGGCCTGACTCGTCGGGATTCCAGGAAACCCGATGCAGCGCAACCCAGCCAAGATGGAGAAGTGACCACTCGTACGTGTCGGCAGCGTCTCACCAGGGGTTACTTCTTTATCCGCCTGGCTGGTTCTTGGGAGTCGACTGTAGTAGTTGCTCAGGAAGAAGAACTTGTGTTTTTTTGTGCTTATTCAACGTTGTCTAGACGAGAAGAGAGTTCCGTCGTAATTCTGACAGGGACGACGTTGTTGCAGTTGCGAACAACTGGAGAACAAACACCTTTTGAAAAGGGACTTGACAGACAGCAAAAGCTTAGGTAGAACGGAGGGGAAGAGAAGAGACAAGGGCAAGTCAAACAGGACAGGAGGGGTGGTGGATGTTCAGGTCGTTGGAGGGAACGGACGAAACGGCGGAGGAATGACGCCAATACCCTCCCACTACAGATGTAGGCCAGATGCCCAGGTGGACTTTGTGCATGTGCGGTCCGTCTACCTACTGCGTACTCGACCTATGCGTCTATGGTAAGGTAGTAGCGGCGGCAGGTCCAAAGCGGCCGATGGAAAGTAAGAGAACCCTGAGACAGCCAGGGCAACCTGTGTGAAAGCTGTGTGAACTGGTCCCACCGAGGCCCGGAAGCTCTGGGCTTCTGGTTACGCAGTATAAATGAGCGGGTGTGCCGATGGGGAAGAGATCGGGAGTTCGAGGATCAAGGAAGATCAGCTCCAGGGTTTCCCAACGGCGACCACCTGCAAGGTCAGGTCAGATTCGGAGTAGTGCGTACACTAAACTGTGCTGTAGAGGGGATGTGTGCGGATGCCGATTAAGGGCAGTAAGGATCAGGAGGGCTGGATGGAAACTGACACAGAGTACTCCGTAGATTGTGCAGAGGAACAGAATGACGTGGGACGGAAATGGTGATGCCGAAAGGAGTTCGGTAACAATTGGAAGAGATCAACTGAAGATGGGCGATCCAAGGTCCAAGGTCCAAGGACGTGGTGAGAGACATTTACTATACAGACGGATAGACACGAATAGCCATGAAGACAGGGGGGCCGGGGTGACAGCTGAGGAGAGTTTCTGACAGATTCAACCCACGTCAAGGAGCCCTTTCTGCGGAGGTTCTTGGTGGGTTGCGGAGGGAAAATGACGGACGAGCATTGGATGGAGGGGGGAAACTGGAAAGTGAGCCCAGATGGAAACAAGAGGTCCGAGATCCATGCCATGAAGGAGCATGAGCCACGATGAGCCATACCTGATGGTAGCTAACTACTGATAGTCTCATACAAGTGAGAGAGATACCGGCATGCTTAGGGTGAGAAATAAAGTCCCTCCTTTTGAACATGCGTCTAAAATAGCGGACAACGCATCGCATCCATCAGCTATTGGCTCTCTTTCCCCGCGCGCATATGAGGTAAGTGTCTATCCGTAGGAGCCCAGCTATTAGACTGGGAATAACTCTGGAGAGCCAAGCAACCGTTGGCTCTTGTGTCCATGGCCTCATATTTAGCAGTGGGCGGTGCCCTGGCGGCATTGCGTCAAGGCACGGAGCCGGACAAGTTTGCATGGGCGCACTGCCGTACTCCGTAAGCAAGGTAGCATCCAAGGACCAAAGAACTACATTGCGTAAAGGTGGTAAAGGTAGGTAAGAATCCACCCATTTCACGGGCTGTCAGTTGACACGTGTAATAGACACAGGGTGCCTTACTTGAGAGATGATGGTGGGCAGCTATCGGAGGGATATAGGCCCGACCTTGAACAAATCGAACGCAAGCCGAGATCCAAGATGCCCGAAGTGCGAAGGGAGGGGGAGGGGGGCTGTTTGCTCGCCGAATCCGTGAGTTTTACGGCGGCTGCAGATTGTGCACAAGGCAATCCCGTCGTTCCATTGCATGCGGCTTATGGAATTGTGCACGGGTAGCAGCTTTCGACGAGAGATGTGCAACTTGCACAAACCTTGAGGCATCTAATCACTCCGAACTTGACCAAGTGACCACTGGCACGTGCTGTCCTGCACAATAGAGACAGCAAGCCAGATCCCTACTTACATACTGCGTACGGTTCAGTCATCAATTTTTGGTGACCTGTTGGTGCTCAACTCGTCGGGAACCCCTTGCCAGAAGCGTCCGTATCAACATTGCCAGTGCTTTCAACAAGAGACCCGAATTTCTCAGTTGGAATTCTATTTTACGTGCCCAGCTCTGCTCTTCGTGCTCCAGAAGTTTGAGCAAGGTCGACATTCGCATTATTCGGGTTTGCTCGCCCGTCGAAAGTGCACCAGTAGTGTCTAAACCAGCAATTGTATCCGCAGTCTGGAGACCCAGTAGACACTAGAGAGATTTGCGGAGTTTCAATTGACTCTTGTGAAGGCCCCGCAGCTCACGGCGGAATTATATGTCATGAGCCGGCTTTTATCTCCGTGATCCGGGTACAGCCGGCGGTAATGAGCATCTGCGGGTGCGGCGTCGTATTCGTTACCGGAGCTCGTCGTATTTCTCGCTTTTCGGATCACCTCCATATCTCAAGATTCCTTATGTAATCCTAGCACGCGTGCTTATCGATAAGATAGGGATAAGAGAATCAAGGTATCGATAAAGAATGCCGAAAAGGTGCCGAAGTCAACCAATCAGACCGCGTCCAAAGGTGATTTCAGAGAACGGCAGCGGAAGCCCCACCCCGGCATCGGTCATTTCCCCACAGACTCCAAATTTTTGGATCCGGTTGCCGAACAGTCACGACTTCCATTGACGACGTCGCGAATTGCCGGAGACCAAATTATTCAACTTTTGGCCATTGGCCTACCCAATTGAAGCCGCAAT